TTATTTGAAGGCGTTGTTAATCAAAGGCAATTTTAATTGCTAAGTGTTCAAATAAATAAATTGGTTTAGGGAACACCAAATAAGTTAGTAAGAGATTGGACACTAAGGTGTGAACACAAATTAAAGCATTGCTTATTATTTTTTTCCCTTCAATGAGCTTCTTAAAACGTCAGTCTGATATTTTATCGTAGCCTACAGCGGCATAGACGAGGCATCCTTCGAGTGTCAAACCTCAATGCCAACATCGCTGTCTGCAGTCGAAATCCACCAGCCCAAACAACAGCACCAACTACCTCGGTCGACTTCAGTGCCTTTGTGGTCACGCCTCTGGTCCACGTGGTTTCCTCCTTCCTCCTCTTCGATTTCGCCCAGAACTCCTTCTATTGACCGTCTTCACGTCATCTCACGCCGTGTCACCGCTCCCGGTGGCTTCTTCGAGGCCAACAGAGATGGATTTTCCCCTGGCGTGTCTTTTAGTGCCTCTACTTCCTCCTTTCCGTCCTCCCCTACAGACTTGTTAGAGGATGTAAATGCCTGCTCTAACGCCGAAAATGCCAAAGAGGAGAATGGTATGATTTTATCTTGGTTCTTTATTTGTCAGTCTTTATTCTCTTCCGCGTTCAATTGTAGTCAGTTCTTTTAAGACTTGGGAAAATTTGCATGCCTCCAATGGAAGCAGCTTCTATGTTTACTCTGCAGAGAACGTCGAGAAGGTGGGGGCACCACCAAATAGTCGTCAAATTTACGAATCGTGCGATGGGACAATTTACGGTATAGACTCAAAACTTCAACGCATTCGCAAGTGTCCCATTCCACAAGATCCCTTCCTCTCGCCTTACCTCGCCTCTGATGAACTTTTCAGTTTGCTGCCACCCCTTGCTATTGTGGTACGTCACTCGGAGGCCATTCATAGAGGATTGGACTTTTTCATAGGGCTAGTTAGAACCTATAAGAGTCGACTAAATGGGTTATGCTACTTATAGCAAAACGTAACTTCTGCTTCCTTTTTTGCCAACAGTGTCCTGAAGATCGG